TTAATTCAAAAAAAAAAAAAGTATTTGTATCTTAATTAGTCCATAAAATATTATTGTATTTCAATAAATCTTATTATTTTAAACATTTAATCCATAAAATCCTAATTCTCATATTTAAGGTATTATATAAATAATTTTATCCTTACAAATATTTTTTGAATATCCAAATTAAATAAATTTAGTTGAATGAGCGTTCATATTGACAGTATAAATGTTCACATTCTGTAAATATTAATGTGCGTTTTGCCCTATTATTGTTAAGGATATTTTGGTAAGTGTGTCACTCATAAGACTTATTAGAATAATAGAAAATAATTTGAAGTGAGTAAATTATAAATAGGTGAATAGGGATTTATGAAAAAATGTTTTTATTTTATTTTTTATGTGTAAATGGTTGTGGCACTTGCACATGATTTTTCACATGTGATTTTTCAAAATAACAATGTTATATTTATTGTACTTTTATACTACATTTAATTTATCATTTGAGATAACATGTTCACAATCGATAATGTAATGAATTTTACACGAATATCATTAATATTTAGCAGTGGTAGATGTGTAACATCATATAATTTAGACTAGCATTAAAAATAAATTTTGTTTGATTATAATTCTCGGATTCTACATTTAAATAAGTTTTCGTTTATTTTTACTGAATTTTGTTTTATATTTTAGTCTCTTTTTTTTTTGGAGATTTATTAGAAAATTTATTTTCAAGTGTTTGTATCTCAATTAGTCCATAAAATATTCTTATATTTCAATAAGTTATATTATTTGAACATTTGATTTACCAAATCCTAATTCTCATATTTGAAGTATTTTATGGACATTTCTACCTTTACAAATATTTTTTAAACGGTTAGTAATTTGATGATGTGAACATTCATATTTTATAATGTGAATATTCGCATTGACGTGTGAATGTTTATATTGACAGTGTGAACATTCACATTAACGGTGTAAACATTCACATCACGGAACATTCACACTATAAATATGAATATTATTACAATGTGAATATTCACATTGGCGTATGAATATTCACATTGACAGTGTAAACATTCACATTGACGGTGTGAACATTCACATCACGGAACATTCACACTATAAATGTGAATATTATTAGGAGTATTTTAGTAACTATGTTACTCATAAGAATTATTAGAATATAAGAAAATAATGTGAACTAAATAGAACATAAATAGGTAAAAAGATATTTATGAAAAAATGTCTCGTTTTTTTATTTTATAGATACATCAAAGATTAGATGTAACCAAACAGTAAACAAAATTAACTAAAATATGAAGAAAAAAATCATTAAAAACAAATAAAAACTCAAATAAAAATACGCATAGATTTTAATTTAAATTTTCATCTAATTTTAGTGATTTTTTAAAAATATTTTAACTAATTTATTTTATTTTTTAGATACTTCTTGATTAAGTGTATCTAAAAAAAACTGATTAAATATATTTTAAAAATTACTAAAAATAATTTATAAAAAATTAAACCAAACAGACACGGGGACTTATTAGATTGGGAGTATGTAGAAGGGACATAACTCCTTTGACCAAATATAGTAACAAACAAAGAAAAACATGTATGCCGCTTCACCTCTTTTATATCCTTTGTTGTATATACAGGAGGGGAGACATAACCTTTTGACGAGATATAAGGAACAAAGTAGGCTACTAATGTCTCTTAACCTTTTTTATATTTTCTTTTTATTTTATATCTCTCAAAAGCATAGGATATATAATAATAACACCTTATGATATTATGGGCTTTTTGAGAAATGAATTAGTAGTTAAAAGTCAATTTTTAACTTAGGTCAAGCTTGGCATGTCCAAAATAATTTATTTTTTTATCTTTTTAGTTTGGGACTTGTATCACTTTAGACCTTGACTTTTCAATTGTGATACATTTGATCCTAAATTTTGAATCTTGTTTCAATTAAGGACAATTGAAGATATCATTAGATTTTTCAAGGGTAAAATTGTCAATTTGATAAAATAAAACTAATTTGACAAAAATAAATGTCAAAAAAATATTTTTGAGTTTTTATAAATTATTTCTACCCACTAAAGATAAAATTATGTAAAATTGATAAATCTTTTAGACATTTATTTATTTTTTTACCAAATTAATTTTTATTATGTGTTTTGATGATGATCATGTAAAATTAATTTTTAAAAATTATTCATGTAATTTTTATTGATTTTGATCAATTTTATATAATTTTATCTTTAGTGGATAGAAATAATTTTTAAAAAATTAAAAAAAAAATTGACATTTATTTTTGTCAAATTAGTTTATATTTTATTAAATTAACGATTTTGCCCTTAAAATTAAATAACGGTATCTTCAATTATCCTTATTTGGAACAAGATTCAAAATTCAAAGTCAAATGTGTCACAATTGAAAGTCAAAGACTAAAGTGACACAAGTCCCAAATTATAAGGACTGTTGTGTAATTTGACCTAGTTTTTATATGGATAAATTACACCTACACCTGAGATTTGACTTGTATACATATACATTTTTTAAATTTTAAAAATTAGATTTCTCTCTTTAAAATTTATAATTTTATTTCAATTTTTTTTCCACCATTAACTAATCATTAGATTAGCTAGCACTATTTATTGACATCATCAATTAATATATTTGATGGATAATAATGGTGGCATTAACAACCTCGAGCCTTCTTTGAAATTAACAATTTTTACACTATCTATCTTTCTCTCTATTTTGTTTGTCACGTGTTGTTTATTTTTTGAACAAATTATATTAAATCCCCTCAATCTATAAGCTATTTATATTTTATATCTTAATGTTTTAAATTCAACAATTACCCCCTCAAACTATTTAAATTTGAACATGTCCTTCTATTAGTCATTTATTAGATATTTGGTAAAAAAATTATCAAATGTTGTGCACATGATGATTATATTAAATTTTATGACCAAATTATCCTCTTTTATTTTTTTAAAAAATTTAATATGATCGTCATGTGCACAACACTTGACAATTTTTCATTCAAATATCTAACAAATAACTGATAAAATGGCTTAATATTCAAATTCAAATAATATGAGGGAGGTAACTGTTAGGTTTAAAACATTAAAGAGATAAAATATAAATGATCAATAATTTGAGGGGATTTAATATAATTTATTCCTATGTTTTTACTTTTTAATAGAATTAATGGTGGAGTTGAGATGTTTTTTTGTCTCTCACATGTTTGATGAAATGTTTTAAAGTGTGTCTATCAAAATTGTCGGTAGTAAAGGAGAAGAGACGGCCCAAGAAGAAGGAAGGGCGGGGTGAAGAAGCAGCTATATGCCCTGTCCATCTCAATGAGATAGCAGACAAAATCATTAAAGTCATTTTAATTTTTTTATGAACAAGGTCAGCCAACAAATTCTGACAGGAGGTCATTGTAATGTTCAAAATGTCACGACGATATATGTATTCAAGTTAAATTTCAAGAAATGTATGTGCAATTCACCCCTTCTATATACTATTCTTGATCATTTATTAATTTTTGACCCCTTTTTTTTTTGTATATATATATTTTTGTAGGAAAATTTTATAATACATGTTTCATTTTATAGTGTGTACCAATGCCCAGTTATGACATTTGTGATTTTTTATCGTGACTTATTGTAATGTTGGTTATAACTCATTATTTTATAACTGAAAGTTATTTAATTATGATATTTGTAATAATTAACACCATAAATATCGTAACTTGTATTCTAAATAATCCATTTTTCTTATCAAGAAGAGATTTTTTTTTTTTTTTTTCGATTTTTTTTTAATCAACAGCACTTCAACATTTAGGATTCAGAAGAACCTGATCGTTTCTTCATTGTGAGGCGTACGTCAGACATGAAGGCATATAATTCAGTCATACGTTGTATAGTATTTGACTTCTAACCAAACTTGTCACTAAACATTTGGTTATCAAATTTCAGGACAGTATTACCAACTTTTGGTACCACATAGAATTTCTAGGAGATGCATTTAATAACATGGAAGTCCTTGTTGTTCTGAATTAAAAAGGATAGATGATATTTTGTTTTATTTTAACCAAAAATAAAAAATATATATAGATTTCATTCTTCTCACTTTGCCACCTTCAGTCACCCACCATTCACAGTTGGCCAGCACCTCCTACCTCCTGTCACTATCATATCTCACCAAACATGTTTTCAATGGAAAAACAAATATAATCCGACATTGTAAATGTATCTTATGGGAACGTTTATTTCATGAGATTGAAGCATAGAATTAAATTTCATATTTAATAGATTTACTAATTCATTGTTTGATTAAAAAATAATAATAATCAAACTAATAATCAAATACACGTTATTTTCGACCAAATAATTCAATAACTATTTATCTATAGGACTAATAGTCCATTGCATTGCAATCTTTCTAATTCAATCCGCCAAAACAAACATCTCATAGAATTGAGGCATGAGATTAAACTCTGTATTAATCCATTATTTGGTTCGCAAAGTAAAGGTGACTATTTGTCAAATATACATTATTTCTTACCAAACAATTTAAGAATTATTTATTTCAAGTCTAATAGTTCATTGCATTACGATCTCCTTAATCCAATCCATCCAAACAAATACCCTCCAACGTTACTCTTCATTTTTATTTTATTTTTGTGTACAAAATAAATATATATACTCTTCATTTTACCAATTCATTTATTTATTTATATGCTCCACTACTCTTTATCTTACTTATCTATTCACACACATTGTTTTGACAGCCTCCCAAAACTCTCTTATACAACTAGTAAAAAGAATTTTGTTAAAATAACTAATCCAATAACTAACCCGCAAGGAGAGTAAAATAGAATAAGATTAGCTACAATAGCCAACCAAGTCTCCGAACCCCTCTCTCTTAACAAGCACTAATCCGTCTCTCCTGAAGGGTGTCAGCCATATATAATGCCTTTCAAAAAAACAAAGAGGTCAAAAAAAAATAAATAGTTTGAGATTTTTCATTGATGAGATGCAAAGAAATGCCAGATTCAATCGTTACACTACACATGAAAAAGAAGATTGGGCAGGGGTTTTAATTGCTCTAATAGAATGACTTCTGTGGACATGTAGCAGAATTTGTGCATGAATGACTATTAAGAGTCTGCAAAAAGGTTAAGGCCCGCCAATTATAAGTCGATACACTAAGCTTGCTTTTGGTAAGCCACTTCTAAACATTCTTTGGCTCTATGAACCTTTGATTGGAGGTAAAAACTCCCAGTCTTGGCATTCCGCTCGAACAAGCTATCGTACTTCTGCACAAAGAGAAACACATAAATCAATTAGCACTATATATGTACAAATTAGGCTTCTTCTCATCGTACAGCTCACAAAAAAGGAACAAAATAGGAGGATAGACGAAACCTGCAAGATCTCTTCCCATGATGAATGCTCGGTGACGCCTAAAATCTGCCTGGCCTCTGGTTCAGCCATAATTTTGCTCGCTCTTCTTACGTTTTGTACTGCTTCTGCAGTAACTCCATTTCTTGAGGCATCTACAATAAGCAGCAGAGGGAAGATCTTAAGCAAAACTTTGAAATGGTTCAAGGCATTAAGACAATGATAGGACATCACGTGTGCCTAGGGCTGCAAATCAGTTGAGCTGAACCGAGCTCTCCAGGGCTCGAGCTCGGCCTGTTTGTTTATCAAGCTCAAGCTTGGCTTGAAAATTAATCCAGCTCCAGCTCAAGCTTGGCTCGATGCTCAATAATAAAGAAAAAGTTCGGCTCGATAATCAAGACCATTCGGCTCATTAAATATTATTTTATATTAATATGCATAAATAACACATTTATATTATTTAATATATAAATAATATATTTATTTTACAATTTAAATAAATAATTTACGAGCTGAGCTTATTCTAGGTCCAGCTCATTTATATGTGTTACCAACCAAGCCAATCTCGCAAGCAAGCTCAAGCTTGGCTCGATGCTCGATAATAAAGAAAAAGTTCGGCTCGATAATCAAGACCATTCGGCTCATTAAATATTATTTATATTAATATGCATAAATAACACATTTATATTATTTAATATATAAATAATATATTTATTTTACAATTTAAATAAATAATTTACGAGCTGAGCTTATTCTAGGTCCAGCTCATTTATATGTGTTACCAACCAAGCCAATCTCGCAAGCAACTCGGTTCATTTGTAGCCCCACATCATGATATTTGAATCATAGGACTAGTAGAACTCTCAAATCCAAATGCTTCCAGTACTAAAAGTGGGAAAGAATAATGGGACAGATGGCCAAGTATGACGCAGCATATACTGTGTTTATTGGGGTCTCATAGTGCATATTATTTTGAGAATGGGTAAAGAAATTGATCCTTGCATAAGCACATGATGGTGTCCCTTGGGCCTTGCCTACCCCTGCTATTTGCTTTCTTGTATTTTGAAAGGAAGGGTGAAATGGAAAGATAGCTCAGACCTCATGCTGATGTGATCATAGGCTCAAAATAATTGCATTTACAATGACAAAATTCCAATGGCAGAAGGATGAATTAACAAATAACATACTCGCAAGTGCTTGACGATATGCTTGAACCAAAGCTCTAGCCATAATACCAGAGCCCACCACAATCAAGTTTGCAAGAAGCCTCGAAGCCTGCATCAACAACCAACAGTTTTTTCAGAACTAATTTTCTTTCCTGCTTTTGCTCTTCTACTTTATAAAAACCAATGGATTCAAAACACAGATAATGATACCGGGCCCAAAGCTAAGAAAAATATTTTAGTACTGCAGTGAAACAGTTGTGCACAAAACTAGTACAAAAATCCTTAACCCGCATCATGTCAACCTCTCTTTCTGTTCGAAGAGCCTAGTTCTCACTCTAGCAAAACTAACTCAATCCCCATTGCTTTCTCGTCCATAAAGGCCTATCGAGAGAGAAGTTTTAAACCCAGCAAGTAGTTAAAAACAATCTTCATTAAACCTAAAACTTGGCAAAGCTGGACAACATGTTATCATGATTCTAAAGTGAACATTTTTTTTCCTGGTACAATTGGCATCTGAATTGCCGAAATGAAATAGGACTGAAGTCAAAACAAGCAGCACAACACAAATGCACTTACTTCATTTGAAATTTGTATTGATCCTTAATCATGCTTAATTGAAAATCACAAGATTTCTCAATCACATTTTACAGTCTTTGCCTTCTTTATCCATAGAGCTATACAGGTTGTGTCTAAAAATTTAACAAATCACTCAGTTGAAATGCTTTTATACAAGTCTAGGTATATTCAAATGCATACACATACTATATGATGACAAGTTTATATATATATATATGTAGACATTATAACAAGTTAAAGCAAGTAAACCAGCAAAATTATCACAGGATGATAACTACTTTTGATTTGTAAAACTTCCTTAAGTAACTAACTCCTTTGATGCAGACACTACAACAATTTGCACCTTCAGCAACCAAATTGGCTACTAAAACCTTTTTAGTTGCCAAAAGTCAGACCTTTACCGACTAATCTTGCTATTGGTCGCCAATATTTAGCATTTTAGCTATTAAAATTTTTTAGTAGCCATATATTAGTTATTGGTGACTAAAAAAAATTTAGTCACTAAAATTCATGTAAATAGGCAACTAAAAAAGTTTTAGTAGGCGTTTGTCTATTTTTTTGGCTACTAATTATGATTTTAGTCGGCATATATAACCTTTTGGCGACCAAAAAAAGTTTAGTCGCCAAAAGATAGGCTTATTTACTAAACTATCAGTGACAAAAATAATTTAGTTGTTGTATGGTTAGTGTTTTCAGACAAAAAGAATACTTAGTAGCCAAATTAGACAAAAATATTGACTATTATTTGCCAACTAAACAAAATTTGGTCGCTAAAAGTAAGCAAAAAAAATTAGAGGGAAGCTTATGAATCGGCACCCTCCTGTTTCACACTTTTTTTTTCCTGTTTCACACATTTTTTTTTTGTATCTATTCTGTCTCACAAACACAAACCACTCACCACAAACTAGAGGCCCGCTCACCACCGACTGTCACTACCACCGTCGCTGGCCCACCGTCCGTCCCACCGTCGCACGTTGCCACCGTCGCACGTCGCCGCCACCACCACCGCCGACGCCGAAATCACCACCAACACTGCCGCATATCACAGGTTTGTCTCTGTCTCTCTCTGTTCGGTCGTCTCCCGGGCATTACGATCTGGTTCTTTCTCTCTCTATCAAGCCATCTCTCTGGTTCCCTCTCCCTCTCTCTCTCTCTCTCTCTCTCCCCATTCCCCTATTTCCCTATTTCTCACACTTCATCTAGGGTTTATGTGCTTTTTTAGTTTATTTTTGTATTGATTTCGGTTAAGGGCTCATTGGTTGAAGTGTTTGATTTCTATGAAATTATGAAATTCTTCATGTCCAAAATGGGTTTGATTTTTGTTTTATGGTTTGATTTTTGTGTTATGGTTTGACAGGGACATATAAATAGTTTAATGTGCCAATGTAATGTGGCTTTGGTCTTCAGGTTGCATTGGTCTTGTGGATAATTTCTTACATTGGTAGTTTCTTCAACTTCCTTACTTTGGTCTATATTGGTGAGTTTCTTCGTGGCCTTTCCCTGTATATAAGTGCACAAGCCTTTCCATAGAATATTTAATTCAATTTGATTATCTGCTTTGTTTTTCCCATAGGGGTTCTTCTTAGTCTGTCGATCCCTGTGCTTTATGAGAAGTACCAGGATCAAATTGACAAGAAGCTGATTGTAGCTCATAAGATCATTCAAACGCAGTTCAGGAAAATTTATGATAATATCCTGAGAAAACTTCCACTACCTCTTAACAAGGAAACGAAAACTCAATAGGCCAAGTGTAACTCCCCCCTCTCCCTCTCTGTTTGTGTGTATACACTGTACACAGCATGCATGCTTGATAAAAATGCCCTTTTTAATCCCTGTGCATGCAAATGACAATGTTTTCAATCTTGTTTTTAACCATGTTTAATTTATATTTTATTATCACAATTAATAATTGCACTTCTTTAAACAATTTATGTATAAGTACTGGTAGTGAAGTTGTACTTCCAATAGATTTATCTAGAGTGACTGAAGTTTCAATGGGCAATTTTGCTAGTTAATTGAGAGTTGGTATCACGAGTACTACAGAAAATTTGTCAACTTTTTTTGCTTTTTTGTTTTTTCCTTTTGGATTTACGGTCAAAATTTTTTTCCTTATGCTTTATCTCAGTTCAAGTTTTTTTACTGTTCTACAATTTTGATATTTTTTTATGTTGGTTTGTTTTCCTTAGATGATTTTGGGTTATTTTGTGTTAACATGAATCAGAGTTGTTTATGTTGAAATAGATTCTCTGCATATTAAACCATGAATATCCATCTACTTGTTTGCCTCTTGCCCCTTTAAAGAGATGCTTCCTGCCTGCTTCATTTGAGGCATTGTTATCTAGAAACATCTTTGTGTTGATGCTTCTTTTCTAAGACATAAAGTTGCAAGTGTAATTTAGTTTGTTATATGTTTACATGTATATATGTCCACATGTTTATGTGCTTAATTGGTATTCTCACTCTCGCATTGAGTTAATAGACGTAGATATTTTGAACAGATTGAACTGCCAAATCCAACTTTCTGCTGCATGTGATGATGCTTGAGCTATAAGTAAAATTTCTGTTTTTTGGGATTGCTATATACTGAGGTGGTTATAAGAAAAGATAGAAGTGAAAATACATTCAGTGCAAGTTACAAATGGTACCAATGAAAGAGAAGATACAAGAAAATAGATTGAGGTACGAGGAACATGCCGAATAATTCAAGGCTACGAGGAACCCTTGAAATAGATTAATATGCATGGCAAATAATACTTAAAGAACTATTTACTTGTGATTACCTTGTAGAATAAAATTAAAAAGAGTTTTGATTATGTCAATTTGTAGTGAGCAATACTATCAAGATAATCAAAGAAATAGTTATCTATTCGATGCAATAAAATTTGTATTTGGACGATCAAAAAAATTCATCAAACTTTAGACCTTATTGTCTTTTTAGTATGAAATTTTTAAGAGTAACAATTTTAATAAAAGGAAAAATATCATCTGCAACTTCCTACCTTACAAAATAGGGAAATAGGGAAAAAATCATATGCAGCTTTAGTAATGAGTATATGTTTGGTTATTTATGTTGAAGACATCATAAATAAGTGGAGATATTTGGTCAATTATTTGCTCATGTCTTGTATCATTCTTCTCATAAATTTTGCCAAATATAGTGCAAAAGTCTCATCTACCACTTGAAAAACAATACAAGGAGATTGATGCTCCATTATTAAAACAAAAATGATATTAAAAGCAAAATTGATGAAATAATGTTATTTTTATAATATTCACTAAAGTGATAGACATTTTAATTTTTATTAAATAATATAAATAAGTTACATCATTATGTGTGAATTTTTTTTATAAATTTTGTTGGTAGTTTCTTTATAATCCTACTTCACCCAAATTGTCATATTTTATGGCCATCCTCAAAAGTCCTAGTTAATCTTTGCTTGACTTGTAGGGTTCAAAAGATGGACAAGAGTTGGATGATGATAATTGATAGGTTGAAAAGTAAAGAGTACCAACAAGGTGTTAAGTCATTTATTGACTTTGCTACGAAGGATTTAGGCCCACACGATGACATTCGTTGTCCGTGTGTCGATTGCTGGAATGGCACAAAACATAGTCGACAAGTTGTATGGCTGCACTTGATTCGAAGAGGAATCGCGTGTTCTTATAGAACTTGGGTGCACCACGGGGAACATGTTCCATTGCGTCATGCCTAGTGTGTCGAATGATGCTGGTGAAAGAGATGGAGCTGCAATTTTTGACATTGACGATAATTTGGGTGTCGCCTATTATATTGGAAGAGATTTACATGAGTGGCTTCAGGGATGATCATATCGACGAAGAACCTAATAGCTAGGAGAGAGAAAATTTAGTAAAGTTCATTAGGTTGTTTGATGATGCTTGGCACAAAGTGTACCCAGAGTGTGAAGTTTTCCGTGTTGTCTTTCGTTATTAGGATGCTTCATATCAAGGTGTACAACAAATGGAGCAACAAATCTTTCGATATGGTTATGCAAGTTTTCAAAGACATTCTCCCAAAGTGTGATGAAACTGTACCATGGACCCTTTATAAATCGAAAAAGTTCTTACGTGAATTGGGTTTGGGATATGAGGCCATTCATGCATGCAAGAATGATTGTATTTTGTTTTGGAAAGACAACGCAAAACTGGATAATTGCCCTACATGTAAGGAGTCTAGATATAAGTTCAACAATGCGAGTGGTAAAAAGATTCCTCACAAAATATTGAGGTACTTTCCTTTGACACCGAGATTAAAGAGATTGTACATGTTGAAAAAAATCACCGCAGATATGAGATGGCACAAAGAGAAGCGTGTGGATGATGAAATGTTAAGGCATCCAGCTGATGGTCAGGCATGGAAAGACTTTGATATGCTCCTATGTTTTCTGTGGAACCCCAGCATGTAGGGTTAGGGCTTGCCACGGATGGTTTCAATCCGTTTGAAAATATGAGCACATCGTATAGCATGTGGCCTGTACACTTAATGCCTTACAATCTTTCCCTGTGAAAGTGTATGAAAGAGCCATTTTTGATAATGTCAATGCTTATTCCTGGTCCATCCGCCCTGGAAGAGACATCGATGTTTAATTGCAACCATTAGTGGAGGAATTAATGAATTTATGGAAGCATGGTGTGCAAAGATATGATGCCTCAAATGGACAAATTTTTAAAATGCATGCAGTAGTCATGTGGACCATCAATGACTTCCCCGCATATGGTACCATGTCTAGTTGGGCTACAAAAGATTACTTGGTTTGCCCTAATTGTAACATGGATGCATCACCTCAGCGTCTGCGAAGTAAGATAGGATATATGGGTTCCCGCCGCCACTTGCCTGAGAACCATATTTGGCGAAGAAGTAAGCTCTTCAATGGTCAAAATGAGCATCGGTCCAAACCTATGGAGTTATCGGGAGAACAAATACTGCAGCAAATTGATGGCAAGCATCCAAACAATTGAAAAAGACAACGGTTAGAAAATCCACCTTCCAATTGGACAAAAAGAAGCATTATGTTCGACATATCCTATTGAAAAACGCTAAAGCTTCGACACAACTTTGATGTCATGCACATAGAGAAAAATATATGTGAAAATTTGGTTGGGACACTACTGAGCATTGATGGCAAGAACAAGGACACGGATAAAGCATGCTTGGATCTGGAAGACATGCGGATGCGAAAGGAGTTACACTTGAAGAGGCGTTCCAATGGCTCATTCGAGAAGCCTCCGGCATCGTACACACTGTCCCCGGTAGAGAGACAAGGTTTCTGTGATTTCTTGAAATCAATTAAGTACACTGATGGCTATGCAGCAAATATATCCAACTGTGTCACCACTCATGGTGGAAAATTAGCTAGTCTCAAAACTGATGACTGTCATGTCCTTCTACAACGACTACTTCCAATTGGGATGCGTGGATACCTTTCCAAGGAGATTGGGACCACACTTTTTGAGTTGGGAAATTTTTTCAAACAGTTGTGCTTAAAGACATTGAGGGTGACTGATTTGGAGAAAATGGAGGAACAAATCATACTTATACTTTGTAAGCTTGAGAAGATTTTTCCTCCTGCGTTTTTTGATGTCATGGTCCACTTGGCAATTCATTTGCCTCACGAGGCTATGCTTGGAGGGCCTGTACAATATCGATAGATGTATCCCAATGAGAGGTAATACCACGAGTTCCCGAACATCCTTATTTACATATAGTAGATAATGTAAACATTAACATTCAAATCATATTGCCACGTAGGATGCTCGGACTTATTTGTTCGCAATAAAGCTCGGTCAGAAGGTTCCATTGCGGAGGCTTACATTTCAAAAGAGTGTACAACGCTCTGTTCAATGTATTTAGGCGGCGTTGAAACGGTGTTTAATCGAGAAGAACAGAACTATAACGGGGGTGACAATGGCCCGGGGTTGGCGGTTTTCACTCAAAATGTTCGTCCATTTGGTCTACTAACAAGGGAAACTAATGTGTCTATAGCCGACCGTGAAAGGGCTCACTGGTTTGTCCTACACAACAACTAAAAAGTGGAAGAATATCTAGAGCACATGTCAAACCTGTGACGTACTATATGTGACCTATATGCTTTTTTTTAGTAATCATTCTTCAAATTACTTATGAATTACATTGTCCTACGTAGGGAACACAAGATGTTGCAACAACAACATGGAACTGCATGCGATATTGCCAAGATACAATGCAAAGAATTTCCTAAATGGTTCAAATATCGCGTATGCTAAAATTCCTTATAGTGTAGTTTACACATCAAGTTAAGTTATGTCAAAAATAACATGAAAGTTTTTTTTAATGTAGATGAACCAATTGCGGCACAACAAGTCACCCGAAGCAACCGATGAGATGTGGTCACTGGCAAATGGTCCTAACAGCTTAGTGAACACATCCGATTCCATGCTCGCGACCGTGACAACCGTCGTAAAACTCAAAATAGTGGATTGGTAGTGGAAGGGGACCATGAAGGCTAATTCATAAAGTTCTACGGCTATATTTGCAAAGTTTGGGAAATGACATTTGTTTAGGCACCGTGTTGTTTTATTCCAATGTGAATGGTATAACACCAGTAGTAACAGAACTTTGCGTGTCGAACCACATTTCACTACTATTGATGTAAGAAGTCGATGGTATAAAGATGACCCGTTTGTGTTACCAAGTCAAGTACAACAAGTTTTCTACGCGCAGGATACGAAGTTAGGTGCCAATTGAAGAGTAGTAGAAAAGTTTCAACATCGAAGAATTTGAGATGTGCCCGCGGTGGATGTGCCACAACGTGATGATGTGTTTCAACAAGATGAAAGCACTGATGTTGTACCAACTGAGCCTATGGATGACGATGTGCTTTTGCGTCGAGATGATATTGACGCTGAAATTACTCCAATGGAAGTTTTGCAATCTGATAACCGTGTACAACCCCAAGGTTGGTATGGATGATGACTTCATATGTGATGATGAAGATGAACCGACAATGGAGGGTGACAATGAAGAAGAAGATAAGCTTGACAGTGATTTTGATACAGATATGGACATAGAGTGTTGATGTATGGGTTGTAAATTTGGATGTGTGATAAAGTCTTGATGTATGTGTTCTAAATTTCGATGTGTGTTCTTGATAGATGTTGTTTTGTCTTTTTGTCCTTTTGTTGATGTAATGGGAAAAGGGATGGAAGAGATTGTTGTTCTTTATGTGTTATGTAATTAGATGAGAGTTTAGTCCTTTTGTTTATGTTGTTCTTCATGTCATCATGCTGAGCTATATTGTAAACTTTTTCGCAATGTTGAACCTCTTAAATTGATGAGCCTCCTAATTTGACATTTATGCTTAACATTGGTTTATGTACAACACTTATATTTGACAATCATTATCAATTATTTTCCTGTTGTTGTCTAATTGTAATTTTGTGAATACTTTACCTTCTGTAAACAATCCATATTGGTCATAATATCAATGATGCATGTGATGTTTGTACTTAATATATCATGTTTGCAACTATTTTGCAGCTACCAGCATGGTTTCTGGGACAAAGACAGGGCGGCGTATGAAAACAGCAACTGACCCCATAGCATCACCCTCAGGAACATCTGCACATGTCATTGTCACACCACCGACCATAGTTGCACGAAGCGGGAGCGGGAGCGGGAGCGGGGGAACGTGGCCACTTAGAAGAGTCGTAAATTAGGAGCGCTTATATATTATTTTTATTAATTATATTTTATTTATTATAATAAATAATGAATAATAAATTATGTTCAAATAAATAAAAAATAAAAATTAGATCTTTTATTTTATAAATTTTTTAACTTTTTTTTTATTATATATGATTTAAATAGATTTCTTTTAATTAGATGATTTATTTTATTTATTATATGTTAAAAAGTTAGGAATAATAATTTTAATAAATAATTTTTTATTTTAGACAAAAGAATTATATTATCTATGACAAATTATATTATATATATATGATAAATATTATATATATATGATATATTTATATTATATAATATAAAACGGAGAGGGAGAGGGAGGGAGAACAGAGATCTAGAGAGAGAGAGAGAGATGGAGAACAGAGACGAGAGAGGGAGACGAACAGCGAGACGAAGCAAACAGAGACGCGAGAGGGAGACGAAGAGAGAGACGAAGCAAACAGAGGCGAAGAGAGACGAAGAGGAGATCGAGACTGAGAGAAGAGAGAGCGACAAAGACAGTCGAGATCGACCGTGAGAGGTCTCAGCCCTAATCGCGATTCTTTCGCATTAGAAGCGCGATTCTCTCGTATTAGAAGCACGATTCTTGTGCAATTCTTCCTTGGAAGCGCAAAATCGCGCTACTTCCTCAGAAGCGTGAGTCCCCTCCACGATTCCTGCTACTAAGCCACAGACTTTATCAGATGAAACACAACCACCGAATGACACACAAACATTTGTGGAAGAGACACAGGTGCACGGTGTAGGTAAGACCATTGTACTTTTTTGTTGCATCTTCATGGTTGACTGATTGAGGACTGCAATGTTTATTTGTCTTCTTGGTAGTTTTATAGGTGTGTTTTGGCCCCTAAAGATCAATTTATTGAACTTAAGCAAATGATTTTTCTTTCACCTAGAAAGAAAATTTCTTGCATGTATAAAAAAATTATAATCCCATAGAAAATTTGCTGATAAAATTTCAAATTTCATATTAATTATTGTTGATTATATGTTTGGGACACTATTTACAATTTGAAAGCCTTACGCTTGTTGCCCCTTCTTGACCAGGGAAAAGTACGTCAACTCATGTGCCCGGTCCTACACTCGAAAAAGGAGTGCAAAAAAGGATTGCAAGCAAAAAAGGGGAGAAACTACATGTTTATGTCAATCGCATGCTGAATGCACTCACCGGAGGGAATGCCATCCCTGCAACGAATGAGTTGAAATTGCAGATAAGGCAGTTGTGCCCTCTCAAGGGAGTGAAGTCATGGAAGAAAATTGATCAGAGTATCAAAGATGCTGTAGTACAAGCTGAGCTAGTAATTTCTGACCTTAAACTAAATGTCTTCATTATGTAAAGTTGCAATTGCTGCATTCAATTTCTGTAATACGTCACACACTTATGCTTGCAGGACAAGTTTGAAATTGGTGAGGATTTTCATACTGATCAACAAACTCAAGAGATTGTTGACACGAAGGCGTATCTCTTGTACAAGAATTGGAGGTACACGCTGAAGCAACACTTTGAAAAACTTGTAGAAGAGGGTGTTGATGACCCATATAGTCATCCGCCTACAGGAGTTTGCTTGAATGATTGGAAACACATGATTGATGTGGCTTAGAAGGATGCATCTCATTTGGTAACAAACAAATATAAGCGACTCTATTGCTTTATTTGTGTGTTATGCATTGATATGTACTAATTCTTGAATAATTCTTTTTTTTTTAGAAAAGCTCTAAAGCTGGTAAAGCAAACTGGGGTTTGCTACCATACAATCACACTAGTGGATCTCGCTCCTTTCCAATAGCAATGTCGCTCATGGTGAGCTAGATGCATTTGGAACATATTTGTCATCACTTATATATGTAAGATGAAAGTCATGGTTACTATTGTGACGAATTAATTTTGTTGTTTGAAAGTAACAGGAAGATGAAAATGGGGAGTTGAATTTTCCGGAATTTTATTCCAAATCACACAAATCGAAGAAAACCAACGAATGGATTGATCCCAAATGTGGTGAGCTACATGTAAGGAGTAAACTTTTTTTCCAATTGTATTCAATATTAATTCCTATCTTAGCACAAAATTGCGTGTCATTCTTTGTGCCTTTGTTGAATAGTCTACTTTTTTGGTAATGACAGTATGCAATGGTGAATCTACAAGCGACAGCCACGGATGCGGGGATCCCATTCACACGGGAGGAACTCTCACAAGTGCTTGGACAAAGGAAGAATTACTTGCGTGGATTTGGGATTGGCCCACGACCCTATTTGCCATCTAATAGTGCGGCATGATCTAGTGACCAACAAATGGAGGCAATGCGATCAGAGATGGAGGTTCTTCATGAAGATTTGATGAAGGAGAAAGAAGAGCGCCAGAGAGATCGTGAAGAGATGATGAGAGAGAGAGAGAGGAGTTGATGAAAGAAATAGAAGAAGGAAAAAAAGCAAGGGAGGCTCAACAAGAACAACTTAATCATTTGAACTTAGTGGTTTTACGACTCTCAACACTGTTGGAGGGTTCAGACGGTCATCGTCGTATTTGGTAAGAAAAATTTTATTCATATCATACTAAAACTTGTGCAAACTTAGATTTACATATTCACTAAACAATACCATCTCATTATTGTTAAGCATGTGGACAAGCTAAGATTATGCAATTAAAGAATTAAAAAATGTGTACTCAGTATGTCAATGCTTAGTCGAAAAAGGGCTTTTCGGAGGAGAAAATTCAAAACAGCACCCGAACCACCGTGTGACTCACACGGACAGTTTCTCCATGACAAATACGACTTGTGAGAACTGACAGAATATAATTCAAATCCGCAGGTAGGGAGTTAGAGCCGAATACACCCTAAACTTAATTGAAAAAGGGCATTTCGAGGGCGAAAATTCAAAATAGCCACCGATCCACTGTGTGACTCACACGGACAATTTCCCCATGACGAATAGAACTTGTGAGAATTGATGGAATGTAATTCGGACCCGTAAATAGGGAGTTAGAGCCGAATACACCCTAAACTTAATTGAAAAAGGGCATTTCGAGGGCGAAAATTCAAAATAGCCACCGATCCACTGTGTGACTCACACGGACAATTTCCCCATGACGAATAGAACTTGTGAGAATTGATGGAATGTAATTCGGACCCGTAAATAGGGAGTTAGAGCCGAATACACCCTAAACTTAATTGAAAAAGGGCATTTCGAGGGCGAAAATTCAAAATAGCCACCGAACCACTGTGTGACTCACACGGACAATTTCCCCATGACGAATAGAACTTGTGAGAATTGATGGAATGTAATTCGGACCCGTAAATAGGGAGTTAGAGCCGAATACACCCTAAACTTAATCGAAAAAGGGCGTTTCGGGGGCGAAAATTCAAAACAACTCTTGAACCACCATGTGGCTCACACGGACAGTTTCTCAATGACAAATAGGACTTGTGACAACTGGCGGAATGTAATTCGGACCTGTAGGTGGAGAGTTAGAGCTGAATACGCCTTACACTTACTCGAAAAAGAGCTTTCTGGGGGCGAATATTCAAAACAGTCCCCGAACGACATTGTAAGTCTCATGGACAGCTTCCCCATGACAAATAGGACTTGTGACAACTAATGGAATGTAATCCGGACTCAT